GTGACCAAAGGCAGGAGCCTCAATTCACTGCCCAGACCATAGGTATCTTCAGAGCAGTCTTCAGAGTATAAATGTTAGATGACTGTTACTATCCTGAAGCACCAGAAACACCCAGCAACACTGTGTTCTTCTAATTTTATTCTTTTTAACCCACTCAGTATAGCTGTGGCCTGCTTGCAGGTGGAAGTGCTAATATATTGTGATAGAGATTTTTTCCAGTCTTTACTGATACATACAGTCTTCTTAATAAGGACAAACATGCACCATAACAGGACTGTGATCTTGAGAGGTAAATTAATTTCAGCATGAGACCTGACCTGAACAAACCTCACGTGTATTCATCGGTGATTCCAGGATAGCAATCTGTATGAAGCAGAGTAGAAGTGTAGAAAACGGCAATCAGTTGCACCACAGATATAACAAGATCACCTTTTCACCATCCACAAGACTACCCTGGTGTTTGAAGAGAGGGCTCTGCTCTTTCAGTGCCTGGCTCTTCTTTTCATGAGAGCATCATATTTTCCCCTGAAGCCTTCTTGCAGAGGGTACAAAAGGAGCACGGACAAAAAGAAAAAAAAAAAAAAAAAGGAAAAAAAATGCTTAGATTTCTAAATTACTATTTATTTACATGCCTTCTATAACTGCTCTCTAATCTGTTTTAGAAATATAATTTTGCTATATGAATGGTTAAAAACAGGACAAAACACCCTCTTTCCCAAGTTTCAAGGTGAAGAGAAAGAAATGTGAATCACTGAGCAAGGTTTTTTGCATTATTGTGTGCTCTTTTATGCTACTGCACCTTTAAAATAACAAAACCCTGCAAGGTGCTTAAGGCATGTCAGAGGTTAGAGTGAGGTAATCCACACAGTTTATGCAACCCCTCTCGCATTTCTATAATTATTGCTTGGGAGGGATGTGCACATTTTTAGACCCTCTCTGAAGAACAAGAATTTTTTTTTTCTTTCAGTAGTTTTTTTCACATCCTAATCTGAAAGGATTGGAAAGTAAACCAACAGTGGATCACCAGCTCTCTAAGGGGCATTCACAGTTCACAGAAAAACTGTGTCAGATAAGAGCACATTGCTGTCTATGAAAGAACATTGAGTGAAGTCATGCCTCCTGCAATCCTTTGCAAGAAATCCCAGTTGCTAATAAAATATCATATCAGAAAATAAAGCTTCAATATGTTAAAGGCAACCAGCAGCAGAAAGGAAAAGCTGTGAAATTGCAAGAGGTAGCTACAGGAAGGCCAGTGAAGTTCAAAACAAATAGTGTTTAACACCTGGCCCATTTCATCAGCAAGTAGAAATAAAGTGCAAGTGCTGACTACATCAGGAAACAGGAATTTATGAGCAAGCCCTTTCCCAAGGAGGATGTTTGTCTGCCTTTTTCTCCTAGATATATATATAAATGTGAAGTTTTATGATAACTAAAAAGCATGTATGTCATAGCACAGTAGTCCATTAGCCAAGCTTCGTCAAGAAACAAATATTCACAAGAATTCACTATACGCTGATGAACATCTGTGATGGTTATAACCTGTATTGTTCAACATTACAATTTAATCCAGGGTGTGTGTATAATTGTATTATCAAACTAGTACATTTTGACGTAGGTAGGTTTTTAATCTCTGCTAATAACTTTGCAGATGTCAGCCTCCAACAGGGAAGTAGAAATCTTGACCACAAAGAACCCATGGCAATAGTCCCAATCATCTCAAAACAGATCTGTCCACAGAGAACACTGGAGAGATTATTTATGAAAACTATTTAAGCAAGGAGAGGAACAGCAAAGTGCACAGGCTAATTAGTAAATACAAAGGAAAGAGAATGGAAAAGGGAGACCAGGATGTTCAGATATAACAAAGAATGTGTTGTTATAGCACTTAGAGAATGTGGAGGCACCTAGCTCAGGAGACAACAGGAGATTTCAGCCTCTGCACTGAAGAAAGGGTACCGGCACCATCACAGTGATTTCCGAATCAGGTGTGCCAGTCATCACAATCTGACTGAATTTCAATTGCAAGGCAACAAAAGATACTTCAGCTGTTTGGGAAGGACAGAGAGACAGTGAAGTCTTCCAGGCGCAATGGGAATGCTTGCTTCCCTGATCCTCTGTGGCCCAGAAAAGGGTGGTACCTGAACAGACTTTGGCCATTAGGATGGCTCCTTGGACTGTTCCAAGTCTGGCAAACTTTTCTTGGTCTGGAACTAGGGAGAAATAACTGGACCCAAATCTAGCACTCCTCAGTGGTCACTGTAAACAGCTGAGTAGCATGGGCAGCTGGACTAAGTCTCTGCTCTCCCTACCAGTCAGTTTAAAGACTTTGGCGTCCCATGGACAGTCAGCAATGACTGGTCTGGAAGAAAAAGTAAGGGGTAGGAACCACTAGTTTAGTTCACGAGTGTCAAGCCAAGCCCATGAGGCCCTCAAAAATACCCTGAAAGAATTTGATTACTATGCAGAAAGAGTTCACAGTCCACAATCCATCACAGATTAAGGACATCTCTATTTCTCTTACAACAGTCAAGCACTTGGAAACAGGCTACAAAGTGAGTTACACCACCAGAACTGAATTGTTCACAGTGCTGTTTCAGGTCTCTGTTATTCCTGAGTGTTTTATAATCACTCTTCCCTCATGACAACCTCAGAAAAACATTGGTGGCTGTTCCACCAGAGTCTACTCCCCTCCCAAAGGCAAAGCTCAGGAGCAACCATGGAAAAAAGGAAAAAAGAGAAAAGTCATCCTGGGGATATTCTACACAACAGCCTTTATCTTGTAATGGAGAAAAGAAATTGAAGCTCTGCCTCAACCCCTTCTCCTAGTGCTTCCAGAGCCCTTTGGACCTGCGCCACACCTCATCATGCACTTTTGAAGGACAGAAGACAGGGGGAGGAGAAGCAGTACCCATGCATATGCAAGTAAGTGGCAGAACACACTCTGACGTAGTGGTTTTGGTGGCCCCTGCAGATGCAGTGATAAATACACAAGTATGTGCTCAGTTTGTCAGGCCTGCAGGCATCTTTGTAACTAAGCTATTCCCTCATCTGATCTGCTCCCTTCAGGTCATATTCAGGCCAAGGAAAATAGCTCTGGACTGATCAGGTCTGTGACAGTTCATACCGGTGAAAGACCAACTGGAGAAAGAGACAGAAGAGAGCACATCACCTGCCTGGCTGCTGTGTGGATGCCAATGATGCCAGAACACATTTGGGACTCTGAGGTCTTGTAGTATTCCCTATAAGAAGGAGCACAGAATGAGACGGTGCTATCTTCTATCCTGGCCCAGATATACTTAATTCCCCACAGTGCTGCTGCAAACTGCAATATTGAGCCTCTCCTTTCACTGTTTTTCTCAGCAAACTGAGGCTTTGTTCAGGTTCACTCCTTGTGGAGGACTGAAATTTGAGATCACGAGATGAAAAGCCTGTTAGGAAAGCTGGAACCATTTTCTCCTCCTCCTCCAATGTGCAGTAGAAGGACAAAAAAAAGAGGTACTTTTTATGGGCAATGAAAAAAGCAAAGCACATGTACATGCATAGGAAGGGAAACTTGAGCGTCTGTTGTCTTGCTGGGGCAGGTGACTGCTGTGTTTCCAAGGTACCAGGCTCAGCACATTGACTCCAAGCCCTCCCATGGATGAAGCTTATGAGACCTTCCCAGGCAATGAAACCCTTCTAAGAGGAAGGAGGGATATGTTGCTCACAAAATCAATTAGTGTGATCACAAGAGGATGTCGTGTACAAACACAGAAAACCATTCACCAGTATTTCCAAGCTTCCTACATCGGACAGTCAACAGGACACCCTTGTAAGCAGACAGCAAAGGACTCAAAACAATTTGGAAAGTCTGAGAATTTCCATTGTAACTGGTAGAAAACTTGCAAGGATTTCCTAGAATGAAGTCTGACTGTGCAGAAAAAGAAAAGAAAGCCCTTTCTCCCCAGAAGCGAATCCAGCTGTAAAGTAATAGAATCATAGAATCATAGAATGGTTTGGGTTGGGAAGGACTTTAAATATCATAGAGTTCCAACCCCCCTGCCACAGGCAGGGAACCCTTCCACGAGACCAGGTTGTTCAAAGCCTCATCCAATGTAGCTTTGAACACCTCCAGGGATGGGGCATCCACAACTTCCCTGGGCAACCTGTTCCAGTGCCTCGCCACCCTCACAGTAAAAAATTTCTTCCTAATATCTAATCTAAATCTACCCTCTTTCAGTTTATAACTGTTACGCCTTGTCAAATATATCTAATATATTTGTGATTTAGAAAGAGAGGGAAAACCTGCATCCGGGCTTCTCAAATCACCTTTTGAGAAGTACTTACTTTGGAAGAGTCCAACAGTATGACTGTGAAGCTCCCCAGGCAACTTTTTTTCCGTACATGTACATTAGTTTGTGCTTATGAGATTTGTACCCATCTTACAACAGCACCAAACAGACAGCAGAAACATTCTGTTCACAAATCTTTACTGTTTTATTCTATTGTGGAAGGTGTTGTCATGAACCTTTATATGTAACCTGGAGCCCTAACAAGCAAGAATTAAAAGCTTTACCAGCAGAGACATAATATACCAGCTTCTTTTTCCCAGCTGTGTTCATATGACCAAAATATTCTGTTCTAATAAACAAGTTACTGGTGTGTAAATCTTCTTACAAGGCACTGAAGGTGAAAACAATGTAATTTAGTTTGGCTCATACAGCTAAACAACAGCTATGTTATAGCGACATTATAATCTCCCCAAAGCATTATGGGATAACATGAAATCACTCTTCTGCAAGAGAAGGATAAGTAACACTTCCATCAAAATATCTTCTCCTGTATTGGGCAGGTCAAACCAGTTAATAGTGTTAATGATCCAGATTCAGGAAAAGGAGGCAGTTTAAGAACACCCCAAAGAACAGGTGTCCCACTCAGAGTCTTCTATTTTTGTTTTTTCACATAAATTTCTTTTTTTGCTTTTTAAGGCAAGAGCCCTGCAGCTTGGCTCCCCCTGTGTTTCAATGTAGCCTTATCATATGCAAAGTCGAAGTCAGTAGTGGAAGGAAGAGAGAATGGGAAAGCTGGTGAGCACTGCTGGTGTCTGCACAAGCATGACTAGACTGTGCGTGGCCCCGTGGCTGGGGTTCAACTGTGATGTAGCCGTTAATGATGCGGATCCGGGGAGGAGGGTCGGTAGCACTGCAAGGCAAGAGAAGAATGTCAGTCCAGACCCAGCCCAGAACTGCCCAATGCCCACAGAGCAGAAGGTGGTCTGCCTCTGTGCCCCACTGTCAGTCTTCTGGTCTCCTGGGAACGGTCTCTTGTACCAGTCACATGCTCACCAAAGGATTGTGTCTCCTAACGGCAGAGCGCTGCCTCATCCCTTCCATAAAGGTGTGGGCAGCTCCCATGCCAGCCCCCATGGACAAAGGCACTGCCCAGCTGAACTGCGAAGCAAGTTTTGAGAGGGAACAGGGATGAGATTGAGGAGGGTGGTGACAGCACTGAAACACCTGCCCTGCACTCAGGTCTACCCAGCCCATTGCTCCCATGTAGTTAGTCGGGTGGGTGAGACGACCATATTCCTAGTGCCTTTCAGCTAAGCAGAAAATACGCAAGTATAAAACAAGCTTTGTTGCAGAGAGTGTCACTGCAGCAACAGTTGCTGAACACAGCAGGATTGAGGCGCCTGCTTTCAGCTGAATCCATCTTCCCCAGTCATGCTTCTCTATGTGCATCTTAGCACGGACCAAACTTGTTCCTATACTGCATGTTCCCTTCCACACGTCAGGATTTACAAAGGGTTTACATAACATGCTTTAAGGAGCAGAAATGCATTATAGAGTCAGTGGGCAAAATCACATCTCAGAGTATCTCCCAGTGGTTGTGAGGACTCTGAGGTGGTGACGAACAAGAACTGAGTCAGAGCCTACATGATGCTGAACTCCTATTATGGCAACACATCATGGGGGAGAGAAATTTGTATGCTTCAAGCTGCTAACACCAGCTGTCCTGAATTGGGGGAGCTCCCACACCATGGCAGGTCAAGAGTCAGAAGGGTCAGATACTACACAGGTGTTGTTCTCTTTGGCAATGGATTGAAAGCCATGCTTGACCCCACAGCTGTAAGGTTGACAATACACCCCAGTGCCTCATGGTGCTGTGTGTAACCAGAAGACAAATTTAGACAAAATTAAAAGCAAGTGTACCTGTCAAATACAAAATCAGAGTCTTTTATCCTGCACCCACTCCCCAGCTGCTGTGCATCATTCTTGCCTTATTTTATACAGGTGCATTAAGCAAAAGCGCTTTGGGAAATTGAAGGCAATTAGTATCTTTTTTAAAAAACACTTACCCTTCCATACCCAAAGGCTCCCACAGAAGATTTGAACAGTAACTGGAGAGAAGCCAGCTGGCAGGACATCAAAGAAATACAGCTGACAACTGATGCATAGAGGAGCATGAACCAAAGCAATTCTGCCAAGCCCACTACAAGACTGCATCAAATCACTCGATCTGTGCCTTGCACATTTCCAGGCTCAGAGGAGAAAAGCTGTGAATGGCTCATGCATAAGAAATCTGACAGGTTTAGCTGTGCCTGGGCACCCCGGGGAATGCTTATAGCACGGGCTGGCACTGCCAGTGAGATGTGCCATGCACACGTGTGAGCTGGAGCCCGGGGAGGCTGGATTTCCGTGGGGACACATCGCGGCTATGCCACGAGGTGGGGCTGTCAGCTCAGCCCGCGCCTGCCCAGGCAGCCCGCAGCGGCACGGACCGCTGGCACACACGGGTGTCGGGTCAAAGAGGGTGGTGATTCCTCCTGCTTTACAAAGACTAAACCCAGAGCGCAGGTGGGGGCCGTGCGTGAATGACAGCTGCCTCTCTGACACTCGTGACTTTCTCTCTGCGGTAAGGATGTAGCAATCTCTTGGGCAGAAAGTCTTTCCCTGTACTGTCCTGCACAGTTTGACAGCTGCCTCTCTGACACTCGTGACTTTCTCTCTGCGGTAAGGATGTAGCAATCTCTTGGGCAGAAAGTCTTTCCCTGTACTGTCCTGCAACAGTTCTATCTCTAGACATTCATGCTCTCTGCTCCTAAGGACTCACCCCAACAAGAATTTGTCACCTAGCACCTGGGTAAGTTTCTGGCACAAAGAAGAAAGGAAAAAAACAAACAAAAACAAAAAAAAAAAAAAAAAAGAAAGGGAAAGGAGGCATTTGCTGCTCCCATATGTACGCAGCAGTTTCCTAAGCCATCATCATCATCTTCGCTTTTACCTCACTATTGCCTTGCAGTACTGCAATCCAGTATGTAGCCCTAATGTACCTCCAGTTTAATCACAGTAGCATATCCTCCCATTTTCCCTATTCTTCTGAAGGCACTGATACTGCAAGTGCACGTGTTCTCACATCAGAGTACTCTTTGACTTCCGTGAGCTTCATGGGAACAACTGCATGTGAAAAACTGAACATGTCAGTGTGCAGGCAGGGTGGGAGCTCCAAATCATTCCTTAGTGTTTTAATTTAAAAGTCTGTCACCAGAAACTACAAAATCCCATTCACAAACAGCTAGTATCAACTACATTAGCAGAAATTAAATGGTACACTAAAAGCAAGTGTGTTCAATTTGTTGTACTGGTGAATCTTGGACTGCGTGTAGGTCTGTCAGTGGGCATGCACACTTCCATGTGCATTTCTCCCTTTTTCTCCAAACTACTCAGTCTTATGTTGGCAAGAGGAGCAGAAAGAGGGCACAAAATTACTCTATAAAAGAGGAAAAACAGTCTGGTCTAAAATGTCTGACAATGGCTGAATTCTTGGAACAGAACAAAAGCCATCCTGAGCAATGTATCACTCAAAGCAATGGTACAGCTGGGACACAGGGATGTGGTAAGAAGGGCATAGGAGAACACCAAGATACTCAGTACCTTGGGGAGCTGGAAGAAATATTCTGCAAAAGAAAAAAAAAAAAAAACAAGAATGCAGAGGCTTCATTTCAAGAATTGCAGGCGTTTCTCCATTATCCTGATGTGTCTGGTTATTTGCAGTACCGCAAAAATAAAATGCTTTCAACCTGAGTATGGCAGAGATACAGAGACACAAAGAACAAAAGAGGGCACACTCAGGTTAGTGCGTTATCTGACAGGAGGGAAACATTAAGGTACACATTCAGCCACAGGCCTAAGTATAGCTCCTGAGGGAGAAGTTGGCTTTTTTTGCATGCTGATGGAGTTATTTTAGGTGAATAGGCTCTTCTGGATGAAACCTAGGGGATATATGTGAACCTTTGCCCCAAAACACAGTCCATTTTTTATATTAACTCCATGATTCATTAGGTTGTCATCCCCCCTTTCCCAATCTCCAATAATGCCATGGGGCTCACATGCTTTTTAAGACTGGAAGAATACAGAGACTGGAAATACTGCATAAATATTATCCAAATGCAAGGAGCACATATGCCAGATATGACGGTTTCCACATATGCAGCAGCTCTTGGATAAAGGTCCAAGGCTTTGATCTGCACTGTCTACCACTGGATCCAGCCTTCAGTGATAAAGACAGCTCCCATATGCTCATAACCCCTCAAGCTCAAATGCAAAATGGTCTAGACAAGGTTTCCACTTGTATTATGCCTAATTTTCCATAAACGCAGAAAGAAGCTATTTTCTCACTAAAAGCACAAGCAACCTTGAGTAAATGGTTTAGCAAGAATCACGGTAAGGGAGAAGATCTAGCCCCTGCAAAAGTTTAGCATACTGGATTCATGAGTCTAAGTTAACGTCCAGTTTGCATGGCAAACCCTATTCCCTCCCCAGCCACGACCTACCTTTCTTCAAGGCGAACCCAGAGGTCATTAAACTGTCTCAGTCTTTGCTTCTTCTTCTGCTTCTTCTTCTTCTTCTTTTTGTACTTCCTGTCTACCTTTTCCAGCACGTCGATGCTGTCAGGAAGCAGCAGGTGAGGCAGGAGCTCTTCCTTCTCCTCCTCCTTCCAGGGATGCAATGGCAGTGGGAGCTCCTGAGATGTGACATACGGGCTGTGTACTGGTGATGATGATGAAAAGGCAACCAGGGTTATGGAAGGTTTTCTGCTGGAAGGAGGGAACACATATTTGAAAGTGCTTTGAGGCAGAATCCTGGTTCAGATATCATCAAGGCACACATAAAAATGATGTTTCTCCCTGACATACTGTCTGGATGCTTATTTCTCTGCCTTATTTCCTGCCCCCTCTTCTTTAGTCAGTATTCTGATCAAAATCTTTAATGAAAAAAGCTTTGGAAAAGAGGTAACCTGGAACTGAGGAAAGAATGCAGTCTGTCTCAGAGTTGGAATAACTGTTGGGAATAACCTTGCCTATCTAGAAAGACAAAAAAGTAATCCCCCTCAAAGTCAGAGTGGGTCAAACCATACCCCTCTAGTCTAATGCACTGCAGAACACAGACCAGATCATTCCTTTCAGCAATTCCTGCCCAGAGCCCACTGACTTGGGGACAGTGGGGAGGGGCAGGGACAGGACAACTAAAGCACACTACCTGAAGGAGCCAGTCCTAGATCAAAAATCCTCACCAGTCGAGAAGGTAAGTAATGAACTAGTCCACAGACTGTGGCCACGGCTGCAGAAACACATCTGGCAAATTATTGTCTTTGAAGGAAATGGCTCAATATATCACAAATCCATTGTGGCACTGACTTCCAGTTAAGTATTTACTGTCTCCATGCTGATCTGCAAAAGGGGATAATGTGGTCCTGCCACTCAGATAAGCACACCAAGGAGCATAAAACGGTGGTGTTAAAGGGTCGTATCAGACAAGTATGGAGGTCCACATGGAGTGGAGGAGGCTGAGCAATCACAGCTCTACCACAATGCAGAAGTGAGCTTTGCACACATTTATAGCAAGTAATGAGGGAGTAGGAGTCAGGCCTTCAGCTTTCCAACTGCACAGATCCAGTATTAGGCTGGTCGCACTATCTGGACTTTAAAAGCAGCTCCAGCAAGTGAAACACTAAAGCAGTGTATGCACAAACTCTCTCATAAGGCAAATCTTGGAAGCCCAAAGGACCATTCTCTCAAGCCCCCAGAAAAAGCTCTAAGGTCTATGCTTACCTAGCTTCGTGCAAAGGTGATATGTTGAAGAAACAAACAATCGGCTTCACCCTGATTACTCAAGCTCTGTTTCATTATACTTAGAGCAAGCAACATCTCCTCATCCATACTCCAAGGCTGGCAGTCTGCAGTGTTCTATCCACTCATGGCTTTACTGGCCAACACTTCTCCTCTTTGGAACAAAGCAATTCCCCCACTTTACTTGTTCATGAGCATCTTGGACTAACTCACAAACTCAATCCACTCTGTGGATACACAGAACACAAAACAAATATCTGACTGGTCTTTATGGCTAATCTACAAAGAGAAGAGATGCAGGAGTCTTCTGTAATAAGACAAAACTGGAGACTGGCTTGGGCTGAAATACAGAAAGGTAACAGAAGACCACAGACCACTGTGCAGAAACCTCGCTTCAATCAGTGAAACCTTTCCAGAACTACTGTGTGTTTCCCTTCTGCCTTGCAATGGCATCAAAAAGAGGAGGTCCAGGAGGAGATGTGTTTCAGCACGGCTGCAGTTTTCAAGCTAGCCCATCACTGTGGGCAGAGAGTAGATGGAAAACAAAGAGAATTTGATCTTATTTCATGCAAGGAAAATCACAGACTGATCATGTGGTGAACTTTATGTGACAGAGACTGGCACAGAACAGGTCTTGGCTTATCAATCTCTTTCAAAATCCTTGTGATTGTCACACTCGGACTTTATCACCTTGGAAGTGTCACAACCCTTTGGCTCACCTTCACAACATCTTCACATCTGTAAGTGTTAAGTCCACCTTACAGAGTGACCCTCCTTAGCTGTCTCCAGTGACCTGATCTGATCTCTCTGAAGGTCCTCTGCATATGGTTCCCTTTACTCCAATTTATCTTCACTGTATCTGTTCCTTAGTTGTGAAAGTCACAGAGTGGGTACCAGCCCTCTCCTGCAGATTAGAGTGCCTTGCTGCCTGAAGCCTCCCCTACCAAACTCATGGCCATACCATGCTGGGGCCCAACACTGCTACAGGCACAGCCTGGATGACCTCCATCCTGCATGGTCAGCCATACCTGCAGCTTCAGAACACTATTAAAAACAGACACTCACATACATAACCTCCTTTGCAATACTTCCCACAGGTAATTCTTCCAGAGACTGACTGAGCAACCACAGGAAAAGGCACAGAGATGCAAAAGCATACCCTTCTTCCCCAAGGCCACTTCCCTCTCCCAGTACAGCAGCTAAGGGAGGAGTCAGTAAGCACCTTAATTACGGCTGTGATTATGTGATGAGTATTTTACTACATATAGGTGTTTTACTACATCTAGGTGTTCCTGCTCTGGCAGGGGGGTTGGACTAGATGATCTTTTGAGGTCCCTTCCAATCTCTAACATTCTGTGATTCTGTGATATATATGCATTCTAGAATCAGGAACAACAGTTAAAGCCCAAGACAAGACAGTAGAAGCTTGATTGAACTTGTGGCACTATTTATAAACTGTCTTTTGTGCTACTGCATGGTTGGAGTACTTCTTTTGCCTTCCTTGCTTTGGTGACACCACAAAGAAGGTGTCCTTCTGCCTCCACACTCCACTACAGGCATTCATCCCATTGCCCCTGCAGGTGGGCAGGATACCTAAGACAGCCCTGTCTGCAGGTGAAATTCTGTGGCTGCACCCAGCATTTTGCCTATTATAGGAAAACATGCATAATGATATCACATCTTTCTGTGTTCTTACACATAGGTATTTACAAGATACTGCAGAAGGGTCTTTCTGTATAGCCAGAACACAGACTGTGCTGCTGCTGCGCAATCTCTTGTTGCAGGGAAGGGAGACAACTGCAGACTTCCTCATCCTCTTGTTTCAGGACCACTCAACTAATATCCCCTACTGTATCAGACAGCAGAGCAGCCATTTGAATGCTCTCATTCAACCACTTGCCAGTTTTTTGCTCTCTCAATGCTGTCCTGTGAAATAGTCCATGACTGGACTGTGCAGCACTGCTATCTAGGACAGTAGCGGGATATGGTTCCACATTTAGGTGGGCTGGACTGGGTTTATTGACACAAACTGCCCTGGTATTTGCTCCCAAAACAAGCCCAGGATAGCAATCAAGTGAAATCCTTCATACAACCCCCAGGACTCTGACATATTTTCATATTTTTAAATCTCTTCCCAAGTTATCCAGAAACGTTACCAACTTTTCTCAAAGAAAACACTAACATGTGATATTCCTTAGCTTCTTCAGTCAGCTTTAAAATCAAGACTCCAGGAATGATGTTCTATCCAGCAGTCCTAATGAAAGATTTGAGATGCAACCAATGCCAAACTGAGGGCTTTCAAAGGCACTAGAATCACTGGCTGGACAATGAACTCCATGATGTGGTCAGAGAACTGGGTGCTCAGCTACCCTGAGTATCATTGTTACCTACCTTCCAGATGGGTGAAGATCTAGCCCTCCTTTCCCTAGTTGTCTCCCCTTGATTTCCTTACATCTACACCTTTACAGAGCAGTATCAGATTTTGTTTATTCTCAATACATATTAATCTCTCTTTCTTTAACCTTTAAGAAGCTGCTATGGCTGCTTTTTTAAGGAATACGTAGGCTATGAATGTTCTGGGGGGAAAAAACTAAACAAAATGACACAAAAATATCAGCGCAGGCAAGTTTTTTACTATCCCTGTAAACACTGATAAATCATGCTAGACAATCTAGTGTAAGTGTCACAGGACAATTAAGTCTGGTGTTAAGCACAGGGGACTTCTCAATGTCAGACTACCTGACCACTGGTGGCAGCAGGGTTAGGGCTTGCATTCATTTATGCATGGGGATGACTCTTGGTGCAGTTTGCTTGAGTGAACGTAGAGTTAATGATGTATGTCCGTGTGAAGAATCATAGCAAAAACATGACCTGCCAGAGTTTGAATCCCATGGTCTGGAAAAGGCAGCAGAAGTGGTGCAAAGAGAAAGCAACCATAGTATGAGAAAAACATCTGCTATTATTTTGTACCACATCTATGGAGCCCCTGCCACAGACCAAGCCTCTGCACTGTGTCCCCTGCACAAAAGGTGATCATCCTGCCTGAGAGCCCCGTATCAGAAATGTCAGTGAGGAGGAACAGAGATGTAAGCAGTGAGCAACAGCATACCTGGCACAGAGGATAAAGGGCAAACATTAATTGGAATCAAACCTTATTGCCACTGTGGCCTTTTAGCAGTGATTATAAGGAAGAGTTGGGATTTCTGAGAGACACAGGAGAAAACGTTGGCAAGAGTCTGGAGAAAGGAGAGACAAGGATTGCAAACTCTAAGCTGGTGGCAAGAAGTCCAGGAAGAGGTGAGTCAAGAGCACATGTAATTCTCAGCAGAGTATGGATTATTTGTCATTCTGTAGTTATTGAAACCATGGAGATGGATAAAGGCACCCAGTGAGAGATAAAAAGAGGAAATAAGGATATATCCTGAAGGACAGCTGCAAGATGAACCTGAACAGCAAGTGCCTTAGCTTAAAAATGCAGAAGAGAACAGGGGACATGAGAGCAATCAGTCATGGGGATAGCTTGCAAAGAGGCTAGGTGGACTCTGGGCAGTCAGATTCCAGGCTGAGAGAGTGTAATCAGAAAGAATCAAAAATAGCAGTGTAACAGAAGGAGAGTGTTAAAAGGCAGGGCAGTCAAATACTTAAAAGGGAGGAAGGAGGAGCCTAGAAGCCTATGTGGTATGAGACAGCATTCATATCTGATGAACCAAGCATGCATACTTCATGGCTGTTAGTTTAAGAGTTGACAGCTTACAAGGGGGAAGAATTTTTATTTTACTAAAAAACCCTAAACCCAAAAAACCCCCAAAGAGTCCCCCAAACAAAACACCAAAAACCAAAATCTAACTAAATAAAATCCTGTTTCCAAACTGGCTCATGGAAAAGAAAAGCAAGCTGCTGGGAGGGAGAGAGGGAGCTCAGCTCACTGTTAGGTATAGTTCCAGCTGCCACTGCCTCTTCATGACTGTTTACCTCCCAATGGCTGCTCAACTAGATAAAAGCATGCATTACTTGTTGATGGCTTGTCCAGCTGGAGTGTGTTCTACCTCGTACCCTTCTCTCCTCAAAACATCAATCACTGTGTTGTTGCCCATGAAGTGACCTGCAGTTAAGAGAAAAATGACATCAGAACTCTAC